CTGGCGGACTCGCAATGCATGCAATTTCAAACTTTCGACCCCCATCTAGTCTAGCGGTTAAAAGTGCCTGCGTCCTGACTACAGCTCCAAAGCTGCATCTCGACTCCCTGTAGCCGATGCCCTGATTTTAAAGTGATCTTCACGGAGCACTGCTCAGGTCCGGCGAGTTGGACACAGTTGCGCTCGAAGCAACAGCTTCGAGACACGAAGCATGTGGAAGAGGGAGGCTAAATTAACTTTGTGTTCGGAGCGGGCGTACACAGGAGTGAATTCAGTAAGACTGTTGGTGCATGCTCAGAAAATAAACCTTAACCCTATGCACCTGTGCTAAGAAGCCCTATATTCACCAAGGCCACAACAGTACCGCAGGAACCGATTAGCCAAGCTTTGCAAATCATAATCTCCAGCTCCACGCCCTCAAAACAACACAAAGAAGTCGCTTCGAGGATTGAAAGTTGGATTAAGTGCTACTCTTGGCCCAAGCACTATCGCCTACCGCCCAAAACCCTAACACCCGAAACCCCTGAACCCGGACTCACCCAAACGCCTACATCCCTCGTAAGAAGCTGTAGATCCGACCCTTCACGAATTCCTTCTCATAGCCCTTAGAGCGAGGGTCTAAACTGCCTTCTTCAGGATCCAACGGGTCGTATGGGCTGGGCAGGGGCTTCAACGAAGCCCGGTGCTATTGCGGGCTGAATCCAAAAGCTGCGAAGCTGAAAGACATGCCGCAGCAATTTCATCGGCCTTAGCAAATAGAATACGGTTCGGTGGTACTCTTATGGTGTTTAGTTCTGATGAGGACCCTGGGGCATCGTATTCGACGTTATCAAGCCTCTATAGTATGGGTTCTCTACCTTCCAAACTCTGTACTGAGTCCCTCGTCTATCCAACTGCGAGCGCAGTGAGGTAAGGATTCATTGGCTCCACATCGCTTCGTGCCTCACGTCATCCCGACTTGTGCATGGACAACGTCGCTCAATCAGGATTTAGCTTCCTCTGGCTTCCAGGTTTGGGAGCTTCGACCTGGTAATTATGGGGACTTTTCAGCTGATACTTAGGGTGGTATAATACTCTACTGATAAGCAAACCTCACGAGTAGTATTGCTAGGTATTCAGGCCCCCTGTACTACACATACACGGTTTGCACTGGCAGTGGTCCCTAAACTTTAAGCCCCAAACCCCGAACCCTAAACCCCAAATCCCAAACCCTAAACCCCCTAAACCCGAAACCCCAAACCCCAGGCCCTAATCAAGCCTCCTACGTGGCCCTGGGATCGTCAAGTCTCGACCCGGTGACCATAAGCCGGGTCGTTCGAAGTAACCTGTTCTTGGAGGATCAGGGGACTTTTTAAGTAAGGTTGTAAGTACCCTAAGTGGGGTTAGAAGCAATTCAATTATAACCATAGTTACCCTACTTATACCCCTGATTGCCTAATTGCTAATGGTCCACGTACCCATGTAGTATATTGTAGGATTATATGAGCACCAAAGGTTGAAGGCTACCTACTCAACCCCTAAGAATATACAAAAGCCCCAGAGCCGAGAATGTACTGAGATCAGCCTCGAAAGCATCTACCTCATAAAAGCTCACATCTACCCTAAGGCCCCGAAGTAGTTCCTTTTTGGGGTTCATATATAGAATCCTATAAGGTATTCCCAAAAAGGAACTACTTTGGGGCCTCTGGGTATGCCTGTAACATCATCTAACCTATGCGTGTACGAGTGCATATTTCCCTGCATCAAACCCAGCCCAAAAACTGGAGCTTGAGGGTTTCAGCTTTAGGCACTACCGCTTAGGTTTCAGTATTAGGGCTGAAGCTTCAGGCTATAGAGTTCAGGCCTAGGGCGTAGAGTCGTAGAGCTTTGGGGGTTGAAGTTTTAGGGAAGCCCAAAACCCTAAACCGAGATCAGCTAAGGGCCAGCGCTCTGTACACAGTTGCTGGCAGGGCAGTCCACACTCTGCTGGTTTGAGCTCGCTGCGCCGCCGACAATGCCAATCAGAAGTTTATGCTGACAGTTGGCAGCGAGACAAGACTTGGGCATCAGGATTTCACTGTTGGGATTTGGGTTTACGGTTTCGAATTGTGGTACTTAGTGGTCGCTAAACCCGAGCCTTGCAAACCCATGGTCCAATTACCCTAAGGCCCCAAAGTAGTTCCTTTTGGGGTTCATATATAGAACTCTATAAGGTAATCCCAAAAAGGAACTACATTGGGGCCTATGGGTAAAATTGTAGACCCTGGTTCGTCTTCCGGATCTGACCACGATTACAAGGATCCACATGAAAGGGATCTGCCGTTTTTCAAGGGTCCAAAGGACCCTAGAATTAGGTACTCGGTTTTAGAATAGTAGTTATGTAGGTTAGGAGTTTGGGGAGTATATGAATATTGGGTACTTGGACCCTTGGGGCTTCTAGCAACTCAAAGCAAAGTCCGTACAAAGCCTCTGGAACTTTAGAAGTGTTCTCTTAAAGTCTCATGGGAGTATCGCATGTAGGGTTTAGGGTTCACGGCATGGCAGGCGCAGCGATCTCCACGCTCAAGGAAGATGACTCTGCGAGACAGCATCATCAGCCACACACTTAGAGGCTCTGACTAGCGCAGTTTCAGGAGGTTCGGGTTTAGGGTTTAAGGGTTAAGGGTTTAGGGTTTAGGGTTTAGGGGCTTTGGGTTTGAGGTTCAGGACACAGAGTTCTAGAACTTAGGGTTTATATGGGGTGAGGCATTTCGGGATTAACGTTGTTGTTGCCGGCTTCAATCGACGAGAACTATATAGTTCGGGACAGGTACAACTTACTTGCGAGGCTGTGCATTCGAAGTAGCATACAAGGGGCCTTAATGTTCTTTCCCCGGGGCATCTTACAGTCTAGCAAACATGTGGAGCACAAGGACATATCATTTCTGATAGTTCCGACCCCTACACAACCCGCATCCAAGTCCTGTCGGACGCCGCAAGCCGTGAGTGTTGAGATCACCCTACATTCTGCTATGTAGGTACGTAATACACTTTGGAAACCCCTACACCCGTTTGAACAACAACAACAACAACAAATCCAGAGCTCTTCACTCCAGTCTTGGCCGAAACACAAACTGCGTCGACTAGGATCTTTAACAAGGAACCCCTAACCGGCTTGATTCAGGAAAGTACGTGAAGGTAGATGAAAAACCCCAGCAAGCCTCAACTTATACTCCTTCATTGACTTTTTCTTGGCAGTCTCTGAAATGAAACCACAAACCTTACTGTGGGTATGCATGGCTGGCATGGCAACTGGCTGCCTCGGACCCTAAACACTATAGCTTCGGCCAGGGCTTGCAGCAAGCGCGGCTGTTGCTGCACAAAGTCTGGCATGACAGTCTACGGAGGTAGGTACGACGGTAGATTAAATACGACTGTCCAAAATGCATAACAGATTCGCAGTGCTGCTACACCACGAACCTCAAACATGACTACCGGACTACCGTTCCCACACCTACCTGCCCACCTGCCTGCCTAATTACCTACCGTACATACGGAGAGTCATGCACGAGTGAGGACGTACATACATACATCCGTACATCCGTCCATGCATGCATACATGCATACGAACATCCACACATCCATCCATCCACCCATCCACGCATGCATGCATGCATGCATGCATGCATGCATGCATGCATAGGTACATACATTACATGCATTACATACGTTGCATACTTTACATGCGTTACATACATTACATACATACATACATACATACATACATACATACATACATACATACATACACACACACACACGTACGTGCGTACATACATACATACATACATACATACATACATACAGACAGACAGACAGACGGACATACATAGATACAGACATACATACATGCATACATACATACATACATACACACACAAACACAAACACCGTCATGCGCAGGTACACATACACTTACACAGTTACATGTAGGTGATGTACAACCTCACCTGCACATACATGCACGCATAGTCGTAACATCCACTTGCATTTGCAGCCATACATATCTACATGAACATATACATGTTCAGATACACGTACACGTGCAGGCCCGTGCGTAGGCGCACAGAAACACATGCATTCATATGCAGATGCATGTACATATACATGCACATACAAACATGAAAATACAAGTATGTGTATGTATGGACACATACATGTACGTCTCCATATAGACACTCATTAGAAGGTAGCCGCTGGGCGAGGTGTATTCAACACTACATGCGAGCTTGAACCGTTACCATTACAGCACAGCACCGCTGACATTCTAATATAGGGGCCTTATTAATTAGAATAGGGTTTGGGGGCCCATTATACTATAGTTATATTAAGGAACCCCCCAAAATAGTATAGGTATTTATTGAGGCCCCTATACTATCTTCAATTGAAACGAACACATTGGCGGCAACAGCCAGGTCTCCACTTACGGTGTCTCTCTTGGACACACTTGGGAAAACGTCTGCAAGCCCCGGAAATCGCTGGAAAACAGAGCCTACAGGCACTAAGAGGAAGAATCGTCCTCTGGACCCGGCTTTGGGATTCGGATATCTAGGGCTTGGGGTGCAGGGTTGTGGTGTTCGGGTTCATTTTTGAAGGGCGTCGTGTGATTCGCGGTTTTACAACCGGTGCTAAGATGGCTGTGGACACAAGGCGTCCTCAGCGAAGGCAGCGCGTCATGGTCGCCCTTGCTCACCTGAACTGTCGATAGCTCCTAGCCTTCAGCTGGCAATTCGCAAACCACTGGCAACAAACAGGAAGACTCAAACAGATTAAGCACACACGAAAGCCGCCCATCACGGACAAGGAAGCATCATAACCCTATCACTAGGAGCTGATAAATCCCTGTACACCCTACATCCTAAGAACAAAAACTTAGACTTAGACCCCCCAAAATACCCTATAAGTATAAACCATAATGATACTTGGACTCTTTGGGCTAACCCTGGATGCTAAACCTTCTTCCGTTGTGCAGCGCAGCGACCTCAAGCACCCGAAAAGCGATCTCGGCTGTAGTCACCTCAGCACCGCGATGTCAGCGTCTTAACCGGATTTATGGGCCTTCATAATCAACATATGGCTTGGCGGTATGTTATACTACAGTTATAATCAGGAACCGTTGGATGTCCTGACTCTCGGGATTTGTGGTTTCAGGCTTTTCGATTCTCAGCTGCATGGAGGTTGGTGGTGTCCAGGGTTTAGGGGTTGAGGGCGCTGCACTGTGAACGGAGGGCCAGACATAGCGTTTAGGACAAGGCTGCTAGACCAAAGCCCACCTCAGCCCCAAAACGTGCACTCTAAGCCCACAGGACCACTCGCCATGTTGGATGTATTTCCGGCCAGAGGGGGAAAATAACAGAAGTCACAGGATGGGCCAGCTTTGATAAACATGTCTTCCCCGAATGTTCCGGTCTAGGCTAGGGTACTAAAGGGGTCCTATGTCAGAATAGGGTTTTGGCGCCCATTTAAGCAGGAAACCCCAAAATGGTACGTGTATAGGAAATTATAAACTCGATTAGAGATCCCTTATAGACCCCTTTAAGGATCCCTTTAAAGGCACGCTAAGGACAAGTATAGGTAATTGTTAAGGCCCCTATGTCATGGTACCCTTACAGATCCCGTATAGTAACCCTTATAGACCCTTTTAAAGGAACCCATAAGGAATAGTACAGGTACTTATGAAGGTCCCTATATTATGCGAGGGACCCACAGCCAGTGAGGACTCACACTTTTCGCACTTATACTGCATGGTCCCCGAACAAAGCTCCGAGGCTCCAAGTGTACAAGTAGTCCCTACGTGAAACGCTTTTGTGTTTTACGGGCTCGTTTTCGTCTGCATTCAGCGAAAGCCCTAGCTTAGAGTTTAGGGTTTACATATACTGTAGACAGTACCTACTCCGGGCTATTCGGAGGCCCAGGCAACAAATCCAAGATGCACGACTGCCCTGCGCCAAGGGACGGGGGGCTGCACGACGGCTGGACATCGCAGCGGGACTGGGTGTGGCCTGGAATACTGTTGGTCACAACGCACTGTTTGTGCCGGGATGCAGGCATGCATGTAAGGATACCTGCAAGCCTGCCTGCATGCATGCATGCATGGATGCATGTGTGTGTGTGTGTGTGTGCGTGCGTGCGTGCGTGTGTGTCTGTGTCTCCGTGTGTCACGTGTGTCTGCGTGTCTGTCTGTACTGTCTGTCTGTCTGTCTGTGTCTCTGTCTCTGTCTCCGTCTCCGTCTCCGTCTCCGTCTCCGTCTCCGTCTCTGTCTCTGTCTGTCTGTCTGTGTGTCTGTGTGTGTGTGTGTCTCTGCCTGTCTGTTTGTCTGCGAGTGTGTGTGTCTGTCTGTGTGTGTCTGTCCGTCGTGTATCTGTGTGTGTGTGTGTGTGTGTGTGTGTGTGTGTGTGTGTGTGTGTGTGTGTGTTTGCGCAGGCATACGTGCGGATGGATGTACAGGACACTCTACAATGCCATGCAAACCAACAACCGCAAGCGGCCTCTAACCTCGCATCAAAGCCCACCAGATTCTAAACTGCACACCCCAAGGAATGTCTTCTGAGTCAGCAAGGGCACCGGTCGGCTTGGGAGGAGCTTCTCTCGCATCCTGGCTTTGAAAAACGGTCTGCATAGGTTTCAGATGCTTTCAGGGATTAGGTCTAAGGGTTTAGGAATTAGGGTTTAGGGCTAGGGTTCTTCATTTGCAGGCTACACTTTTTTATTAGGGTCGTGAGGGGTTCATATGGTTTCGCCATGATCTTTCAGAGGTTTCTCATGGGCTTTGCTGTAATGTTCTACAAGGGCGCCAAAGGATGTTTAAGGGCCCGCGCTGTGTTCGACAAGGGCTTTGCATATGTACCTCGGAGAAGCAACTTGGTTTTGGGTGGACAATCAGGTAAGACCATTGATGGTGAGTCTGGGCCCCCATGGAAATGTACCATACAGTCATATAGATTCCATCATTCGCGAAAACAAACCGAGGCCCGTTTCAGGCGGGTGCTCAGGCTTACGACATGACACAACTATACCTTTGGTGCATGTTCTACCCATAGGGCCAAAGGGTCCAAGCTACCCAAAGAGAGGATTGAGGCGCTTGGAAATCAGGGGAATGCTTCTTCGGCGGAGTATTTGCAAAAAACAGGTTCCAGGCTCAGGGTCGCTTGAGAAGAGTCGGCACTCAGGATGGGGTGACTCTCGGGCTGGAGGCTAAGGGTTGGGAGTTGAAGTGCACAGAGCTCAGGGATTTGGGGTACTTACCGTAAGACTTAGCATTCTGGGGCTTCAGGGCGTTTGGAGCGCTGGGATGTACGATTCCAGTGAGCATGCGCGTCAAGCTGATGGATAAGTTGTCCAAGTGGTGTGACAAGAAGCCCCAAAGGTATCCCCGTGTAGGTCATTCCACAGCAGTGCGCCTGCCCAGCAAGCTACCTTGGAGCAAGGTTTGCTTGGGGCTACGAAAAGGTCATGTTGCAGAGTCCGTCGTATACTCCTCG